ATGTATTTGGATGTTTATATATAAAATAATTATGATATTAATTTTATAATTATAATTATACAAATTATAGGTTTCAAAAACTATACTCCCATGACTTATTGTTATAAGATATTTTTAATCAAATTATATTCTTAATAAGTTAATTAATTATTTGAAATTAATAATTATACACTTTTTCCATCTTTGCATTTATTTAATAAAAGTAAGAGTAGAGTACTCTTCTACACCTATTTATAAGCCATCAATAAATTTTTTATTTTTATCTTATTTATAGGACATCTCAATAATTATTGTGTTTATCTTTACCCTTTTTCTCTTATTAAATATTTAAAAGGTTATTAAATGTTAGAGTATTTTATTTTTAAATTGTGTATATTTTATTAAATGAGGTTTTAAGTTTTTTCTTAATTCTAGTAAAAATGTTGGGGGAATAACTTATAAATAGGGGCAAAAGAATAATACTCTTAATTGTGGGTGTAATTAATAACATTATTTAGTTGAGATATCCTATTAAATAAATATAAATATGGACAGAGTGTAAAATTTTAAGATAATTAATTAACTTATCATGAATATAATTTGATTAAAAATATCTTATAATAATAAGCTATGGGAGTATGGTTTTTGAAAAATATAATTTATATAATTATAATTATAAAATTAATATCATAATTATTTTATATATAAACATCCAAATATATGGTGGCCAAAAACACACCTCAAAAGCATCACATAGCCATGTAAGAAGAGAGGGGAGGGGGAGAGGTGAAGAAGGTAAAGGGAATCATGCAGCATAGTCACATTTTGAGGTGAGATAGTGGCGGGCATAACTTGCCATGTCTGTCACATCAATTTTTTTAAAAATTAGAAATATAGTTCTATACTTTAAAAAAAAATTGGAAACTCAATTTGATGAAATTGAGTTTTAAATTTGTAGTATTTAGGGAAATATTTTTAAGGTAAAACATCACTTGAGGACCACTTGAGGTACTATATATTAAAGAATGACCTTAAAATTCTAATTTTTCATTGCACCCCCTTGATCCTTATCTAAAAATAAATTTTTACTAAAAATGACTTAATTGTCTTTCTTAATGAAAAAAAACAACTAAACAGAAATTGATTGTTAATGTCCAAACATGTTATTGTCAAGCATGAATTGGTTGTTGTCAAAACTCCAATGATTTGTTGTTTATGCAAGGTGAACACTTGCTCCATTAAATCCGTGCTATTAGTTTTTTAATTCTGTTAAAGTTCGAATATGTTGTTATCAATAACGAGTTGGTTATTGTCAAAATCTAAATAACTTTTTAGTTATGCAAGTAAATACTTGTTATATTAAACTGATGTTGTTAGTTTTTTAATATTTTTAAATTATGAATATTGTTAATCAAGATTTGGTTATTGCCGAAACACAAAGGACTTGTTATTTGTGTAGGACGAATATTTATTTTATTAAACCTATGCTATTAGTTTTCAATCTTGTTAAATTTTAAATGTGTTTTTATTAATTATAAATTGTTTGTTGTCAAAATTTGAATAACTTGTTGCTTGTATAGGATGAACACTTATTATTTTAAACTTTATCGATAATTTGATCATTTTCTATAAAAACTTATTTTTAGGTAAGGATTAAGGGAGTGCTGTGAAAAATTAAAATCTTAAAGTCCTTTTTAGATTTAAAATACCTCCAAAGATCCTTTAGTGATATTTAATTTCCCTATTTTTAAAAGCATATAGCATATTGAAATAATTTTTTTCTTGTAACACTGGCCAAATTATGTTTTTGATTTGATTTAATAAAAGTATATTAAATATATAAAATTAAGTACTAACTACTAAGACTTGTACTTTAAAATTAACTACATTATCTTGGGCCAAAAATTAACTATATTATTTTTTTAAGTTTATATTGGCTCCTTGAATATATTTATTTCTTTCTCTATAACTTTTATTTTAATTTTTAATTGATTTTATAATTCAACTAACACAATGTCTTATAAAACAGGGTAGAGAGAGTATTATTTATAGAGTGAGAATTATATACTTAACTTTATATTTTATATACTTATATCCAATCAAATCATGACAATTTTGATGTTAATATGTTAATAAAACTAATTACAAGATTTATTATAGAATAAATAATTTATAAAAAATTTACATATTTTAATTTAATTGAAAACAAGCATGTTAAGTATACAAAGTTAAGTATATAAGTTTTTTTCTAATTTGTATTAAGGATAAATAATCAAATTCATGAGGACTACATTTATGTAATGATTTTGTTTGTCATAATTTATTATAGAAAAATTTTCGGCGTTTCATACCCATTTCAATTTCTTTGTTATCGATTACAAAAATATTTCATTTACCACAATTAAATAAACCTTCCAATTTAGAGGTATGAGGTATCTACAATTAGTACCTGACTATAACTTAATAAAATTATTTTAGTAAACCAATGTCTACATGTAATAAAAATGTGGTTCTAATTAAAATTTTAGGTTAACCTATTAAAAAAACAGCATATGCTGACTGTTAAAATTAAAACTAGTCGATCAAAATTTTTTAAGATTTGGATCTGGTAGGCACTAAACATGCTCACTCAATCTCACGTGGTATAATATTAATCGTTTAATTTAATTAAATGGCTATAAAAGACTATGTTGTATATAATATTGAAAAAGCATCAAATTTCAAATTTTTAAAGAGGATATCATATGTAAAGAATACTTTGATTTTAAGTATTGTTTTGAATTTTTAAAAGAAAATATATTTTAATAATTTTGAAGTATTAACAAAATTCAGTGACTACAATTGTAACACTCGTTAAATGAATGTATTTGGGTGACTTATTGAATGCAAATAAAATCTTTTATGCTCACCATCTTTATGTGATGATAAGAAACTTCATTTGATATTATTTTTTGTAGTTCTTTTAGAATATTTAAATCCTAATACATTTCTCACTTAGCTAATACTCGTATATGGGAATCAAACTTTCCTATTAAAATATTTGATTTTATTACCTTATCATGTAATTATTCAAATATCATGCGCTTATATTCATCAGTAAATCCTTGATCCGATTAAGGAAATTAAGGTATTACGATCTTTTCCCCTTTCTAAATGACTCTCTGATCTTTCTTTTCCCCCAATAATAAGTAATATCATGACATATTGAGGGCGAAAATAATATATAATGATCAAAATCGAATCACGTAAAATAGGAGGAGCATTTATTTTTGGGAAATTTGCAATTAAGAACCTCAAAACTGAAGTGATTAGTGAAAATTGTGAAGTTGAATTTAAGGACCATGGCCTTTTCTTGTAATTCAAAAAATAATATTTTGATTAAAACACTTCTTTTTAAAATACAAAATTACTTTGGAAATGCGAAGTATTTTTTTTTGTTAAAAGATTATTCTTTAAAACCGTAAAAAAATAGTATATCCCTTAAATTTAATCTCAAAATTTTGTGGTCTTCAATTCTTATCATTTATTTTCCCAGGTTCTTGATTTCGATTTTTACTTTATTTTTCCTTATCAACACCAACAAAAGCCCCGAAAAAAGATAACATCATCACAGGAAAAAATAAAATCGATACATATTTTTGCCTTTTAACCTTTTTTTTTTTAAATTTATTTAAATTTAAATGCTCGTCCGCTACAGTGGCATTTGCGTAAACATAACACGGTAGCCTCCCAGCCGTTAAAAAGAGAAAGTCAAAAAGCGCCTACTCGGCGTTCGCGGCGCTACATTCCCAGATAAAGCGGTGACAAGTGTCCTCTATTCGCCACGCGCTCTCCAAACGCGTGTATAATGGAATAACTAAAATCAAAATCAAAGCCGCACCTTGATACACGCACTTCACGTAGAACTGCAGGAGACAGTGACTGATTCATATATATATATATACTATATGCTTCTGCAAATTTATGTGTTTTAATGCCCATGAGTAAGTAACAACACAGAATCATCATGCATAAAGTAAATGTTGATGCCGGCTCATAATTACTGTAATTATAATAAATTCATTTTAATTCTATTAATTGCTTGATTAAATTCCTTATTTTGACCACAGGCTCTGTTACAAAAAGCAGTGAGGGGTGACAGATAAGATAAAGCAGGTTGGGAAGTAGAGAGGCAGAGACATAGATAAGGACAGACGAAAGCGAAAAAGCCCCAACAATCAGAGGTGGTACGTATACGATCCTCGGTTACACGTATATTGATAATTAATGATTTTCTGCAGAAAAACTGGTGTATTACTGTATTTGTATTCTGAGCGTGATGTTTTTATGGAGATTTGCGTGCGTCGGCAATTTTTTTTTTCTCTGTTAACATATCTTCAGCGCCGGTCTGCGTCAACGTTGTGCAGATCGATGAAAACTAGCAATAGATATAACTCATGCTGTGGATGTAGTAATTGTAATTTCTTGGAGCGAAAATCGTAGCCACAGATTTGTGATCTTCTCGTTGTGGGTTTCTCTTAGAATTGAAAATTATTTCTCTCTTAGATATATCTCTCTGGGGGATTTTCTCTCTCCTTGTTTGCCCTCTATATATCTGTGTGTCACTAAGGTTTATAGGCTTGTTTGACAGACTAGAACGGAGCGGAAAGAGACTGTAGTAGTAATTTCACTGTTCACTGTTTGAACAGTGTTCTTCAATAGCCTTCGGCGGTGTAGGGGAATTTATGTTGTCGGTGCAGTTCTGGGAATTCTCTATTTCATTGTTGCTTGATCTTTGCTCGGTCTTTGTCTCTGTACTATTCTTCTGCTCTGTGAGGCAGGGCTTGAATTCGGTGAATCCGACTATCTCGATGCGTTTGAGGCCAAAAAGGTTTGTGTTGTTTTGTTCTTCTCATGAATATGGTTGAATCCTTCACTCTTTATTCTCATTTTTCTATATCTGGTTGATTTTTGCAGGACTTGTTCTGAAGTAGTGTGTTTTGGTGACTTTCACATACAACAATTTTCACATCTTTTCATCTTTTTAAGAGGGCAACTAAAAATTCCGAGGGCCTTCTTTTTTTCCTAGGATTTTTTTTTTCTTGTGATAAATATTTAGATTTCTGTGAGTATCTTTAGGGGTTTTTTCTTGGTAATTTACCCAAAGAACCTGACGAAACCTTCTAACAAGATGAATTTCCCCAAAGCCAAAACGGTAAAGCAAAAGCCTCATCTCGCCCCTGCTCGAAAGAAGCCAGTAATGTCCAGAAAACTGCGTATAGTTTATAACGATCCTGAAGCCACAGACTCATCTTCAAGCGAAGATGAAGAAGAAGAGTGGGGAAACAGAAAGCTGAAGAGGATAAAACGATGTGTTCAGGAGCTCACCCTTCCTGTAGCTCCTGAGAAACCGGTGACGGTTGAAACTGACAGCTCTATTCTTACCATTAATGGCAAGGGGCGCAAAGAATGGGAACCAGTTAAACCCAAACCACAAAGGAGACGTTCGTCTTCGCAATACAGAGGCGTTCGACTCAGAAACTCGGGGAAATGGGCTGCGGAGATTCGACATCCTATCAAAGGTCGAAAATGGTTGGGTACTTTTGATACTCCAGAGGAGGCTTCTCAAGCTTATGAGGCCAAAAGAAGAGAGTTTGAAGCCATGGATTTCTCTAAGAAGAGAACTATTTCTGCAACTGTTTCTTCGGATTCATCTTCTTCAGCAGAGGACTCAGGCAGTGTTATGTCTCAGTCATCACCACCCTCTGTTCTTCAAGTGTATACTTCGATCGAGAATGGTCGCATTTCCAGAAAAGAAATCGATCATTTTGAGTCTGCGCTTGAAGCTTTGCAAATGCCTGATTCGATCTTGTCGACATCCGAGGATTACAAGACCTCAAGCAAAGAAGATAATGATTTAGAGTCTGGATTTACGGCTTTGCAAGTGCCTGACCTGGGTTCAAGCAAAGAAGCCAGTGATTTGACTTCTGAACTGGAAGCAACCATGGAAATAACCGATTTGAGTTTGCCAGAAGTGCCAATCCCAGCTTGTTCAGAGCCTTACATGTTTGAGCTGGATTGTTTAATGGTGAATGATTTGGAACAGACTTTTGAAGACGACGATGATCTTCGTGGGCAGCTAGGCAGTGGAATTTGTGGGTTTAACGATGATGTGCCTTGTGAGCTTCCTGATTTTGATTTTGACGATTTTGGTGCAGATGATGAGTTTGCCGGTTGGATTGAGGAACCCCTCAACATACCTTGTGCATGAGTTTTGCAGCTAAGCTGCATAGAAATAATTTAGTTTCTTTTTGTGAAAAATTTGTTTTTTGTTTTTTGTTTTTGCTGCTGAGAACGATTTGTGTTTGTCTAATTAAAATTCATCAGGAGAGACCTGAGGAGAGAGGCCAGATGAGGGAGAAAGGATAAGAGAATCCTTTGGGTTTTCCTGTGCTATTAGAGCCGTCCAAGGGTTCTGAAACTAAGATCTACGGACTTGTTCTTGTGTGTTAATTCCCTGTTAATCACAAGACTCGCGTCTCTTTTTCATCCGACAAGAGTATTATAAAATAATAATTATAATAATGCAGATTAAATACTTGTTCTTTTGTGTCGATCAAAAGTAAGATTCAGACTGGCTATCAGTCTCAGTCTGGCTTTCTTTGCTTTGCTTTTGTGGCCAATAGTGAATTTACAATGAGATGGAGGTGGAGAGCTACGATGAACTTCGAATTAAGAAGATTACACCGCAAGTCCGATTCAACTTATTTAAATATGATAGGAAAGATGACAACTTTTGATTGTCATATTCCTCTTTTAAATTATTAATGATCTTGTGTTATTTAAATGAATTGTGAGGGATCTCAAGATAATTCTCCTATAAATTGTTAATAGAGTGAAACTGTGAAAGACCTCAAAATAATTCTACCAAAACAGCATTTGATTATAGGGACAACATAAAAAGTTGATATCAAATTAAGAGTTTTTAGAAGAGAAAACTTATGTATTTAAACTTTTATTCTTAATGTTTGTTTTCAATGCAAATTTTTATAGATTATTTATTTTATAATAAAATTTTATATATTTTCTTTGTTAAAAAATGTAAGATATTTTTAAATGAATTTTACTCTCAAATAAAGTAATTGTCTATATTCAAATTAATTATATTTTTTTATATTTATTTCTATTAAATACCCTACAATAAATATAAAGCCATTCATTAATAGGAGCATTTTTAAAACAAAGCAATAATTATATCTTGAAAGACTGAAAATATTTTATATTTTTAAATATTTAAATTTTTAAAAAATAATTTACATTTTTGAATGGAGGGAGTATAAATTTTACCCCCCTTTTTTTTTAAGATTTTCATACTGAACTACGTGAGAATTTCAGAAGCTATTTGGTTACTGAAACTAAAAATGACATGGATGGAATGGATCACAAAATAAAAGCAAAAATAAAATAAATTACTCAATCCCTTATAATAATTATAATAAAATTTAGAAAAAATTAATTCAATGGCCTCAAAAAATACATTTTTCATAAATTATAGATGAAGTTTTTGAATATTTAAAATATAACCCATTCATAAAATTAATTAGATGTGTTTTTTCTTTTTTATCCTCAAGATACATTTATTATTAAAACAAAACATATCTAATTTAACTAATCTTTAACTGATTACATTTTTTATTTTTATCATAAAAAATTATATTGTACATGCTCGCTCTCTGATTTATCATTTTTGAATTTGTACATCAAATTTTTTGATTTGATCTTCCTGGATCATCATATCATCTCTAATACAATATTTTTCTTCATCAGAATTTTTGATCTAATTTGTTTAGATCACCATCTTTATCACAAAGCTTTTACTCTCTCTCCCTCTATGTTTTTTTTTTTTGCAAATATTATGAAAAGGACATTAGACATTGAAGAGAAAATTTCATTACTAATCTGTGATATTATATCATTATTATACGATTGTATATCAATGATAAATAAATTGATAAACTTTCACTGATATAGCTTATATGTCAGTGATATATAATAATATACTATTAATATACTATCATAGATTAATATGACTGGACAATTAAATATAAACTTACTTATAATTGATATATTATTATATATTAATAATGTAATATTGTAGATCAGTAATATAAAAAATGCAATCATTTCTCCAAAATAAGTCAAACATAGTCCATAAAAAAATTTCGGACTCTTAGCTTCAAATAAATTTATAGCTAAACTAATAAAATAAAAAATAATGAATTTATAGTTTCGTTTCCTTGTTAGCATGCTTTGTTTCATTGAGTAATGTATTTCACCTAGCATTTGTCTCTTACAGTCGTGACTGTAGCTCACTTACATTGTTTTGCTATCTCGCATTTGTTTCTCTCGCATCAAATTTCATTTTCTTTCTCACATTTGTCTCTTGCATTCCAAAGATTACCTTTTGAATCTCCCGATATTTGAAAAAAATCAAATATTAAAAAAAACAGTTTTATAAATTAATTATAATTTAAATATTAAAAAGGTTATTTTTAAATTTTAAAAAATATATGTTATTTCTTTTACTTATTCTTATAATATGGGCTATTTGTGCAAAAGTTTTTAAAATTTAATACTGCATATCATAAATGTAAAAATTAACACATTCACTGCAAATCTCATGAATTATAATTTCTTACTTTATGAATTAAATTATCTTTTCTTTCTTCATAGTCATGATTGATTCATCTCCCCTGCACATCTTGATTATTCTATTTTTATTTTTTTAATCAATTTCTTTCATTTCAAGCAAGCAAACAAACCTTAAATTATGATGAAATCCAAGTTTAATATTATTTTCTTATAAGATCATTAATTGTCATTCTCCCTTGATGAAATATTTAGTAATTAAAATACCTGAATGTATGTTTTTCCTTTTTTGGGTTGTTAATACACACACTCATATTAAAAGAAATAAATGTAAATCCTATTTGAATTTGAAAAGTTTGAAAATACGTGTAAATCCTACGTGTATCTTGTAAATAAAATGCGGAATTCAGCTGGGAGTCCTAATATGGAGGAAAGCTAGCTGTATCCCATTGCGATTGGGTGGGGTCACCCTGTCAGCAAATGTTGATATGCCTGGCTTCAGCCGAAATAAAAGATACTGTAGGGTCTCATTTTTAATATACTCTCATCCAGTTCTTACTTTACTTGGATATATTCTGTATATAAATTCTAAATTATATTACGATATATTTTATTTTACGATTTTTTTGATAAAAAAATTGCGCATACAATATTTCAAACAAAAAATAGAAGAATACCTACGATCACGGGACCTTTTACGTTCCTATTTAAATTCAACATCTACTCATGACATTAAATATTTGAAATTAAATGCTTGTTACGTTTCTAATACACCAATTGTATGACTTAATGAAAATTTGTGATCAGAGTAAAACAAAATAGCGATTTGATCTCATACGATATACGTTAGCGGCCATTAGCCCATTAGCGAGGCAACGGCACAGGAAAATTAGATTAAAAAACTATTAGATATGATGTATTAAAATACTTGTGAAATTAAATTTACTCGATTCTATTCGGCTGCCACCAAAAAATGCAACGGAAAAATTGGCGGCCTTGGTCTTGGATCTAAAAGTTTTTTATTCTGAAATTGATTATTTCTTTAAATTTGGTTCTTATTGATTGGATTTAAAATTAGGTCCGAGAATTTTTTGATTTTTTGAAATCAAGTTTATCACTGTAAGAGGGAAATTTGTATACGTAATATTATATATTTAATGGACTTATTTTTAATTAAATCATGACATGGAAATCTTTTATAGATTATTTATTCTATGATAAATCCTTGTTATTATTTTTTATAGGAATCCTTGTTATTAATTTTATTAACATATTAAGATTCACTTATCATGATTTATTAGATATAAGTATATTAAATATATAATGTCAAATACATAAGTCTAACCTTTATTATGATACTATATAAATATATTATAAATTAAAATGTTCTAAAATTTAAAATAAATAATAACAGTCCTTACTCCAAAGTACAAAAACATATCTTAAAGTTTAAATTTAATCTAAAGATATAAAATACAATAATTTTTGGGGTTAAAATAAATGTAGTTTTAAACCTTCAGGGCTTCATTCGGAAATCTTTTATATTAAAATACCCTAATTTTCAAAACCCTAACCCGAAGAATAAGCTTGAACAAGTAGTTCGGCCTAAAAAAAGATTCAATTCATACAGAATGTCTGAGTCTGGAATAATTATAAAAATATGGGGCTTAAATTATTTAAAAAAAAAACGAAAAAAAGGTACTGTAGGGAAAGATGATAATGAAGAACAGTCGAGTGAGGAGATATGGGACCCGACCCGAAATGTCGAAAAGGACAAAGAAATTAAGTGATATTATTGGCGTAATTTTGGGGTGCGAGTGTAGATAGGATCTGAATAATCTTGAAGGGGGGATGCACCCACACTATTATTGTGCGACAATTGGCCCTAACAAACACATGTCTTTATTTTAATCATATTTTGTTTAGGCCATAGTTATGGGAGAATGACAAGATAAGCCACAAGACATTAATTAATTTAAATTTAGTTTTAAGTATTAAACTTCATAAATTTATAAGTTTGATTCTCAATTTTACAATTTTATTGTAATAAATTTATAATTTATATTTTAAATTTTAATTAAAAAATAAATTTATTTAGTCTTCAACGATAATAAAATTTAAAAAATAAATTATAAATTTATTATAATGAAATTATAAAATTAAGAACGAACTTATAATTTTTAAAATTTAACACTTAATATTTAATTTAAATTAATTTATCCTTGCAACCTATCAATCATTCTCCTCAGAATTAATGTTAATTAATCAAATTAATCATGGTTATTAGTTCGTGGTGTTAACTTACGATGGGCTGACTTTGTCACCATTGGCTGCATATCTTTGTCAGCCGTGTTTCCCACGCTTAAAATTGACATCTCGCCTCTTCTTTGTCTCCTTCCGTGTTTATTTATTTTCTTTGTCTCTATTTTTTATTTAAATAAATAAGATCTGATTATGATGTGTTTGCGAGTAGCTAAAAGGCCAAGATCCATTTTTCTTTGTCCCTTCGTTAAGGTAGTGGACCAATTCGCATAATGCTTCTCGGAAAAAAATCATGTAAGGACATAAAGAAAATTTTTATATTAAAAAAATATGTTAAAAATATGAAATTTCACTACACTTCCTAATACTTCATATGAAAATAAGATTTTATGAAAAAAGATCTAATTACCTTTATGGAAGTATAAACAAGTTTTCATTCGACTTTTAATAAATAACTATATGTAATTAATAACAACTCATTTGAAATGAATAAGTTACAAAAATTAATGGCACAAGTTTAATTGTACAGGTCATGGTTCAACATAAATAAGCACACATTCAAATTTTAATAAGTAACCTTATATAATTAATAATACATTTGGTGTTAATAAGTTACTATAATGGATAATACATGTTTAAT